TTAAAAGTTTCCGCTCGATGGATGCCAAGTCTTCTGATTCCTGAAAAGATAATAAATCGTCAGTTGTAGGCCGTACCGGCGCTTCGTTGTCAAGCGGTTAACACCAGTCGCGCGCGGGCTGAATAAACCGCGAGGACGCCCACACATACGCGGATTCGAACCGATGACCTTATGGTTTTAAACCAAGCGCGCGGAACCCCCTGCCACGGGCCGAATCTGAACAGAAGCGCGTTCGATACGCGATCTCAAAAAACAATTTGGCACTGTCTGAGACAGATGCCAATGTTATATCCGTCGATGATATTGACTAGTTAGTTCAGCCACACCGCATTCTTATTGCTTTTCCTCACATTGACCAATCATAGATCCTCACTCATGCTTTAACTTGTGTGTCATGTCAGTCATGTTGCAACCATTCACCCGATACACTTTGTTTCGCACTGTGTCTTGTTCTTGCCTAACTGCAGTCTGGGGCGGGCTTTCTTTGCTTCGTTACTACATATTATTGGCGACGGAATACAGATAAACCCTATCATTACTCTATCTGCTAACTTTTGGTCTTCCGTTGAGGACAAACCGACCTTATCAAACGGGATGAGGTGGAAGAAATCATTTATTAACTCCCTGGAACTAGTGATTGTTTTGTACCCTATGTTTTCCTTTTCGGAGTCCCACAAAATACGACTATACAGACAAGTGCTGGGAGACGAAGGCCAGCGACATTATGATGCACTACATGTAGAAAATTGCGACACCATTACATCGGCTTTGGAGAAATACACCACACTGTGGGGATTGAAACGGAATGTTTCTACTGCGGGATACCGTTTATCAATGCTTGTACAGAAACCGAACCAGAGCATCAGCGACTTCATTGCACACATCCATCAGTTTATTCCCGAGTGTAAATACGATGAAATTCCGCCTGACAAATTTGAAGAAGTAATGAAAGTACAGTGCATAATCGCGGGGATTCTGGATGGAAGTGCATGGAAAAAGTTATCTTTGAACGATTCAGATACCACGTGAGAGAGTGCTTGTCCAATCGTTCGCCAAAGGGAAAATATTTTGCACCAGCTACGTGAATTCACTGCCCATCCGGTCGTCGATGCTGTTCACACAGTCGTTAAACCACGGATTCCAGGTGAACCTCGAAAACAGTTCGTGTGCTATCGCTGCGGGATGCAATATGCTCCTGTTTCTGAGTGTCGCCACAAAGAAAGCATCTGGTGAAAATGTGGTAAAATAGGTCACCTAGCTGCGCGTGCAGATCGGAACCCGCCCCACCAACCAATCTCACTCAATCGAGGCGCATTAATAAGCTGCCGCTTACGGAGAAAAACGTTCTGGAAGACCCAGACAACCATCTAAATTCCGTTTACTTGAATACCGTATCACCCAACAAGTGCCCTCCACATACGATTCGTTTGATGACCGAGAATGAACCGCTCGATTTGGAACTGGATACAGAGGCTGCAGTCACCAGCAGAAACAGTGATTCCATTAAGTGTCTGCCGCCGTTACAACCATGTGACTCCAAACTGCAAACCGACACGAGAGATCCGAGCAGCATCTTGAGAAAGTGCATGGTTAAAGTCAGGCACGGCGATCGAGAATTAACTCTACCTTTGATCGTGTTATCTGGGAAAAGACCAAATCTCTTGGGTAGAAATTGGATCCGATACTTCCCAGAAATGATGCAGATTAATGAGGTCGTGCTCAATGACAGCAGTCTAAACAATCTGCTGAACCAATTTTCTTCTTTATTCGAAAATATGTTGGGAAAGCTGAAACATTTCAAAACCTCCATCAACCTACGGGAGAACACCAATGCCAAGTTTTACAAAGCACGAACATTACCATAAGCTATGCGTCCCAAAGTTGAAGTGGAACTACAACGGCTACAATCCAAAGGCGGAATTATGCCCGTACAACACTCGGATTGGGGTACTCCAATTGTTCCTATACTTAAACCAAACGGTAACGTTCGTATCTGTGGAGACTAAGTTAACCGTCAATCAAGGTGGAAAGATATCTTTGCCACATATCGAAGACTTGTACTCTACGTTATCTGGTGGTCAAAAATTTTCTAAGCTTGAGCTTAGTCACGCATATTTACAAGTGGAACTTGATGAGGACTCACGCGAAGTAACCATCATAACTACACATCCTGGACTGTTTTAGCATATCAGTCTTCCTTTCGGAATAAGCTGCGCCCCCTGCGGATTGTGGGTGACATCGTGACGGACAAACCCGTTACTTGTGCTTAGTTGGATGATATCCTGATCTCTGGCCGTTGTGATGCTGAACATTTAAAAACACTTCGGACGGTGTGGGAACGTTTGGAATCGAATAGACTGAAAAAATCTAAATGTGAGTTTTTGTCTGAAGCTGCTTGTTATCTTGGCTACAAACGTGGAAAGAGAGGTCTGCAGGATAAAGTATCCCCAATTATACAGGCGACCCAGCCTAAGAAAGCTGATGAACTCCGATCATTCTTAGGAATGTTATCACAATACCATCATCTTTTACCGGGGGCATCGACTATGTTAGCTCCTTTGAACGTACTGCTACATAAAAACACCCCCTGGGTGTGGAATGATGCGCAACAGTCCGCTTTCATCCGGGCAATATGAGAAAGAGTGACAGAATTGCTGTGGAGAACCTGCAGAGGTCATTTACTAAGCATCTAATTGGTAAACACTCTGCTATGAGTTATGGAGAACGTTGCAATGAACTTCATCTCGGACCACCTTGGATTCGACGATTGACGCACAACTTGGTGCTGCTTTTCAACATGTTACACAAAAGACCTATTCCAACCTGCCTACACTCAATTTACAACATTGCTCAACTCGAGCGCTTCGCAACAAAGATTTTACACTGAATATACCGAAGGCTAGAACAAACGTCCGCTCTAATTTCTTCCTGGTCAGATACAGCTATCTGTGGAATAAACTACCAATAACACTCAGATCATGTGACAATGTGGCAACATTTAGTAGCAGACTCGCCAATTACCATGATCTAACTACCCTAAGCTCTATATTCACATGGAAAAAACCCTCGATGAGCTATTCCAAGAGAAGCCCCAAAACATATAACCACAAGGTTTTCATAACTAGGCTTTGGCCTCAACCATCAGGTTAATGCATGAAACGCATATCTCCATACTTCACCTATGCATGTTACACATGCAAGAGCACGGATTCGTCTGTACAAATTGATCTGTGCAGCTATAGACACAGTTTCGCTCGTCAAGAGAAATATACGTATTATTATTATTAGTGACTGGTTGACCGTAACCTTGTAGTCCCCACAGATTCTTATGGTGCCATCGCTCTTCAATACAGGCAGTATATTGGATCTGCCCAATCAGAATACTGAACGGGTTCTATTGTGCCCACTTGCTGTAGTCGGCGGAGCTCACTCCCAACTTTGGCCCGATAAGAATAACATGTGGTACATGCCTTCCAGAATCGCGGTGATACCTGGGGTTTCAGTGTCAAATGTGCTACGTAATTCTTCAACCACCCCGGTTTAGTTTGGTCAAACAAGGCTGCATACTTGTGCAGAATTCTGGAGAGTTGCGGACAAGCTTCCACAATGTTAACGTTGGACATGATACCAGGAAGATGTTTAACCAATCGCGATTAAATACGTTAGGGCCGGGTCTCCAGAGACGTACACTCGGATGCTATCCGTCGAGTTGCCGTAGGACATGTGTGTAAGAGAAGTACCCAATACGCACTAATTGTGCAGTGTAAGATCATAGTTGTATTGTAGGATGATCTAATTTTTGGCATCAGGTCGCACCAAAGTAACTGTGGAGCCGGTAACCATTTCAAAATCTACAAGTTGCCCGTTAACTTTCATAGATACGACAAATGGTTTCTCCGCGGTGATATTGTGATTAAAAACAGTCATGGTGTTTATCCAATTCTGGTTTAACTCCTCGATGATCCGAATGGTAGTTTTAAGGTTTCACTATGCAACGGAATTTCGTTTGGAAAGACACACTTTCTGTATGTGTATCGTCTCTTTCCACAAAATCTGCCTATCGAATGAAGATGCTGACAATCTGCCGGTGTTGAATGCTGTTCACCACGGCTATAACACTAGAATTCCCTTCGTTGTACCGAGTAAGACAAGATGTTACCAGGTTTGATCTGAGAGACTGTAGTAGATCTTGGGAAATTGTCTGATTAGGTGAGAAGAATACCGTTAGTATCTGAACGAGACTGGCACGTTGTCGAACGATGTCACAGGCTCTTCCCCAAGCCAAGGTCCTTTCATCTTTCGATAACGGGCTCACTCGTACTTTCTCATCAAGAGCACCAACAATTAATGCCTGTAAAAGCATTGCTTCTTCGAATTAGGCTGGCTTGATCTGATTATAGGCACAGTCAGGAAGTGCAGTTAGGAGTCGAGAAATAAACTCAGTTACAGTTTCGTTCTGCTGCTGTCCTATGGTTTTAAATTTGTAGCGTTGTGTAGACACATGTGGCTTTTCACTCCACAGGCGATCACGAGAGTGGGAAACAGATTGTAAATTTTGTTTCGTATGTAGTTGCAGGCTATCGGAATGTCCCTACATCTCGTTGCCTAAGAGGTGACGCAGTAATTTGATTTTTGATGCATCATCCATCGTACCGTTACCATTAAGGAGAACAAGTAGATCCACGTAATTAGTGAAGGTAGTTTTCCACTGCATCCATGATTGGGTAGTAGGCGTTTCCGTGGAAGAATTCCAAAACGGCTGAGGTGAGGAAATTGAATGCGCAATTAGTGATCGCAACAACCTCCGTCGCAAGTTTGTTGCGCCAAAACGAAAGTAAAAAAAAACAAAGCTGCGTAGTAAGACGGTTATTCACGTAAACGGAAAATACCAGTGTACACCAGAAAGGGAGCGAAAGGCATTCGAAGTCACATGGGCACAGAACCAAGTTAGTAATCAATGGTTACGGCAGACGGCCGATAGCCATAGTACACACACACACACACACACACACGAACGGACGCAAGCGGTGAGGGTCTGACAAGGCGTGTTAGGTATGCTGTGCATAGCATAAGTTAGCTTTTGCTGTTGATTATTCTGCATTACCCGTAGAGTCATGGTGCTTGGCTGTTTGCGAGTCCGCTCCAGAAGTGACCATCGTTTTCATCACCACATCGGCCAAGTCCAGGTGAACTCCGAGTATTCAGTTGAAAAACTAAACAAGGACATATTTTCGTCGTCACAGATGTACACTCCCGCTATATAGTCTTGATAGGTTTTTTTTGGAAAACCGGCATTGATTTGGATTTGTGCTATCAGAGAGATCTGATATTGCAAATTGACCCACACAGAATGAAATGACTTCATAAAAGTGGTAAAGCTTGTTTCGACTGGAAATCATACAACATCCAAGTAGTTGGAGAAGGCATGATTTGATAAGATTTCTCTGAGTGAGCCCCTATCCAATACACTAGACGTGCATGCCCATTTGATAGCAGGTCATGAACGCGTGCACGTTAGGTACTCTCGAAGAACATACGGTCTCCTGATACAGTGTGAGCTATATGCTTCGCGATCCAACATCATTTTACCAGTGGGGATTCGGGAGCACCACTCACCGAGTGATGTCAAAGAAGTAGCTCTCCTCAAAGCTGGTCAATCTGGGCTCTTGATTACATTCGGGTTGCGGTGGGAAACGAACAAGAAAAATTGGTGGTACGAGCAAAATGCGGCCCGAATTATTCAAAGACCGCACAAGGTAAGCATACGTCAAATCAAGGATGTGGTTTACGTACTCACGAAGGGTGAACATGCAGCACTGTCGAATCAAAGAAAACAAATGAAGCTATGGAGAGAGGGTAAAAGTGTTCAGTTCCCCGGGTCGCAAAACGAAGCAAAACCAATGATAGATACAGTGGCGACGACAACATATGAAGTCAAGCACCACCGAGCGTAGCAAGATAAACGCCACCGCCTAGCAGGTTGCCACACATGGTTGGACAAATGCCAATAAGAGGGGTTCCAGCGTGGATCCCCGGCCCCGGCCCCGGGTCTGTCGGAAGTCGATGTGGGACCAGACGTGTAAGAGGCTCTTCGTGGCGATGAAGCACGTTGGGTGTGGAATATATCACGAGCGCGGTGAAAATCAAAAGGGGGGTCTAGGTCCGAAGCCGGATGTATAGAGGAATCCTGTGGAGGGCAGAAAGAAAATAGACGGCGCAACACTAGTAACAGTACCAACTACACAGCGGTAGCAGAGCATTTGTTGCGGGAGCAAACACTTCCAGCAACTGAGATGAATAATGGTACATAGATAAATGGCGAATTTACAATTTATCACTCTCCATTACCAACGCATCAATACATTTGAAAATTTAGCGCTCATTTGAGTACAACAAGATGAACATGACCGTTGTTCAGTTGCACTATCGTAGTTGCCTGAAGAAGCACGTTTTACTGGAGACTTAGAAAACAGACAGCAGAAACCGTCCTGGAGTACCGATGATCAAAATTCGGGCTACTTTTGTAAACCCGGTAGTAAGTCATTTCTGTGCATTTGGAAATACTGCATGTATATATTACAGTCTAGCGAGTGCGAAGCTAACACTGGCAATGAAAATAGAACAACGGCTGGTAACCGGGATGTGCAAAGCAAGACACGTCAAGCAGACATTTGCAAAACGCATCGATCAAGTATTTTAGACTGGTTTAATCATTGTATGGTTGAGTAGTGAACGGACACTTACTCGAGCGGATATGAACAGTCAATAGGAAGCGCACAGTGACCATAAGCATGTTACAGAATTACGTTTTCCGACCTCCGCTACATCGGCTTTTGCATATCCGTACGTCCGGGATTCGATTCCCCGTCGAGGCAGATTATTGTGTAACAACAACTACACTACTCACAAAACCACCAATAATCTAAATTATTAAGTTAGCCCACTAGACGCGATCTGTTTCAAAGTTAATCATTCACAACTTAATCAATTTATCGATACCTCATTTTACCGTTACGCTGTAGTGATTCCGTCCGCTTCCCGCACGTGAAAACAAAACCGTAAGTTTTCTGTTGTATAGTATCTTGTGAAGATCACGATTAAAGGAACATGACGTAATCCTAACCAACTATTCTTTGCGCAGACCAAACGTACACTTTAAGCGTTATAGTCTGCGGTATCTAATAACATAGGCTGGTGTGAAGTGCCTAAGTTAAGGTTAGCTCGAACACTACGGATGGCGTGAGTCCCTGACCCCGTCGGTGACTGGCTTCGGACCAAGTGGATTGCCTTCGCAGTCGTCAATGTCGTCGGGAGATATTTCAGCTAGCTCGGAATAGTCAACATTGAGAGGACGCAGGATGATAAGTGATTTTGTGGAAATGTGAAGGGGCGTCAAATCGACCGAGTTTTATGCACAGATAGCGGTAGACTACCAACATGAACATTGGTAGAAGCTCAAACAGCAAAGGAAAAAGTTAGTTATTTGACTAGGCTTTAACGCACCGCGTAATATGCGGTTAGTATAAACTGTAATTTCCAAAAGTCAAGGGAATTAGAGACATTTCAGACCACAGATAGTGAGATTTGTGTCCGTGACCACCTAGATGCACCATAATCACGGCGAGCAGTTGTTCATCGAGAATCAGAGACTCGGCCAGCTTTTAGGACGATAACGTCAACAGGATAAGTTAGTAAAATGAAGGGGCAGACAGAACTCGAAAGCGACTAGGAAGCATTGCTGGTATAAGAGAAGCAACTCACACTAAGGAAGGGTCGCCAGTGTCAATGAGAGCATATCCTGAAAGGTAATAACAGTACCCCTTACCGAGGCTTCGCTACCACATGCTTACCATCAGTTACGCGCAGATTAAGGGTACTGTGATTTCGCCCGCACCTATGCAGATTCAGACCGATGCAACGAGACTGGACCTAAAGGTGTTGCAACGGTTCGTGAACCCCGTGGACCTATTGAGCTGTACTACGTGGGGCCCTAGTGCCACTTGAGACATTCTCTTACCAGGTTGGTCAATGGTTAGCGGCCAGACGAACACAGTCTCCTGGTCATCTAGGTTGGGGGTTTGAAATGGGATGGCGTCTATTTCTGTAAAATGGATTCGCTGTAACATTTACTGCCTTGCGGACAGCCATTTGAGCAAATGGTTTTAGTTGAGGACCCTAATCGTCTTCCTGTCTTCCTGCCTAAGTTGGGAGTGGAACTCGGAGCCTAATGGTTAACGCCTTGGTCACTAGGCATTTGAACTAAACGAGTCAACTGAGACTGAGACTGTATTTAAGAGCAAGTAGAAAGGTTTCTGTACAACTCTATCGAATTATGAAAAATCAAAAACATTTAGTTGTGAATTATCAGCAGTTGTGTTTGGTCCGTTAATCGTTTATCTGTGTTCGGTTAGGAATTTGTATTGGTGTCATTATTTCCGGGCATACAATGTCTTCTTTTGGAACTGTATGTGCATCGCTTCACAAAAGCACAGTTTTCCGAAATAATCGTCGATAAGTGTTTTAAAACATTTCACATAATCGGCCTTTATTAATCTTTCTGGTAGTGTATTCAATAAGTTTACGATTCTTCGTTCTATACAAAGCTGATGCGATATTTTGTTCATGCAGGGAACCCTGAGTTTGTATTGATGCACTCGGGTGTTACAGCATTCCCGCAGGTGAAATATTGGCCGCAGTATGGGGAAGTGATTCAAGTGTAGTACTCGATGGGTCATAATAAGGTCAATTCTTACTCGGCGGTAGGATAGTGTGTAGAGTTCGAGCCTTTCACAACGTTTTTCATACAGAAGCTTTCGTAGACGCTGTATTATTCTAGTTGCGATATGTTGTATTTGCTCCAGCTTTTGTGTTCCGCGTTGGGTTGTCGAATGGTAACCTGGGGCACCGTATACAAGGATTGGTCTACTGAGCGAGGTGAATAGACGAGGGAACATGTGGAAAACTGCGTCTTAATGCCCAGAGCATACAAAGTCCCGCAGGGTGCAATTTTCCTGTATTTTCTAGTGATCTCATATCATGTCGCGAGAGAACACCTAAGTCTCTGACAGATATGTTAGGGTGGAGCAACTGATCGTCCAAGGTATATGATGGCTAATGATACTGATGAACACCGACCTGCTTGCGTTAAGCGAGAGTTGCATTTCAGTGGACTACGTTGACAGTCGCTCCAAGCAATGCTGGAGGCGAGCGCAGTCGCCCTGGTTCTCAATGATCCGCCAAATTTTCAAATCATGTGCAAACAGGGCACATGGTGACTGGAGCTGCTGCGGAAGATCGTTGATATGAATAACAAATAATAATGGCCCAAGTACAGCTCCTTGAAGCACGTCACTGGTCGATGGGAACCAGTTTGTCAGGTAGCCATTGACCTGTACTCTAAACTTTTGTCCCACAATAAACTCTTGTATCCACTGAAGTAACGTGCCACCGATTCCGTATTTCCTCAGTTTATGAAGGAACACCTCGTGGTTTACTCTGTCAAACGCCTTACTAAAGTCGATGTACACCACCTCATCGTCCTTCCGTCCGTTGAGAGTTTGTACCCACTGGTGGTTTGCGTACATCAACTTGGTGATACAGAATCGCCCTTCCGTAAAGCCGTGGTGCGCTGGTGTCAATACGTCCATTGATTCGAAGAACGATAGCAGACACTTTTTCAACACGTTCTCGAGAACTATGTATAATATGGAAAACAAACAGATCGGTCTATAGTTCTCTATTTTACTCGGATCACCGCCCTTGAGAAACGGTCTCACTATCGAGCATTTCCAGTCGTTGGGGACAGATCCTTCAAAGAGTGATTTATTGAATAAGTTTGTCACAGCTGGTGAGATGATAATCGATAGGGACTTGAGTATTAGTGGGTGAAGTCCGTCTGGTCCGCGGGGCTTTGCACCATCGAGGTTGACGAGTAGCTGGTACACTTCGACTGCATCACATTGTAGGCTGTCGAGCAAGACCGGCGCAACCAGTGTCGGTACTGAAACCGCGGCCGGTTTATCGGAAAATACGGTGAGGAAGTGCGTAGCCAAGGCGTCCGCGCGCTCCACGCTTGAAATAAGCATCTTTCCGTCTAAGCTCTCTAAGACCGGTAGGTCGCTCCCAGGTTTCAGTTGACGTTTCAAGTAGGCAAATATGCTTTTGGGTGCAGTTGTGGCCAAGGATGCTAGCTCCTTTTCGAACAGCCGGTGTTCCTTGATCTTTGCGGCATTACATAAGTTTCGCTGTTTCTTGTACACCGGGTACTCTTCATCACAACCCGAGCTGATGTATCCATCCCAAAGTTTGCGACGCCGTCGCGCTAACTGTCTATATTCCGTATCAAACCAATGCGGTTTGATAGGTCCGAGCTTTGAATACTTAAGGGGAACAAACCGAGTACAGAGCGAGTTAAGCTTCCCCTTCATTAATGACCAACAGGCCTCAAGTGACGCATCCTGTGGTAGTGTCCAATCAGTCTGACTTGCAGCTTGGACGAGCCCGCTGAAGTCCGTCGTCCAGTAGTTGAATGTCTGCTTCCCTTGATTGTACTACGATAACGACAGTTCTATCTTGCCATAGTGGAGCAGTGGTCACTGTTCGCCAGAGGTTCGATGACTCTGATCTCTTTTAGCTTTTGCTCGCAGCTCGTAAATATTAGGTCCAGACAAGATGTCGAGTGCGGAGTTACGTGCGTCGGTTGGATGACATGTTGCGCTGCCCCGATTTCAATAGTCATTTTAGCGAATTGAGCCTCAACGTTGTCATGACCGGGAAGAAGTCGAACGTCTGGCCAAAATATCTTAGATAAATCTAGATTCTCCATCAGTAAGAACTGAGGGCGGCTCATGTGCTTCTGTACATATGGTAGCCAATCGCAACAACGGTTTAATGGGCTCCGGTAGATAACACCCACTATTAGTTCTGCGCGTCTGAGGCGGATTATGCACCACACTTGTTTGCATAAACTATCCTCGCTCCGATATGTGCTGGTAATTTTGCCAGATAGTGACGATTTTATGTACAACAGAACACCACCGTGATCCTTCGATTTTCGGTCGCATCAAAGAAAAGAGTATCCTGATAACGCGACTTGTTGAGGTATGACGTCGGAGTTCAGCCAAGTCTCTACAAGTCCTAAACATCCGGCCGCTTGGTGACAGCGAAGCGGCACAGTTCGTCACGTTTGTTCATTAGACTGCACACGTTGGCGAATGCCACACGGAGGTCCTGGGAGGTACTGCGGGACGTGCCTGGAGGTTGAACAACCGGTTGATACGGGTTCGTACACCCTTCTTGATCACCCAAAAATTTACAATTTGTAAGTCAATCTCACCTTCCTCTGTACGGCGTTTGAGCCCGATGACAGCAGTCTTCAAGCGATCCCTGTCTTCGGGTTCCAAGTCTCGGCGAATGTGAACTTTTATGCCTTTCAGCCTTGACATACGAGACAGTATGAGCTGCAGCATATTGTGATTTGCAAAGGTGATTCTCAGCGGTCCACATGACTGGTTAGTTTTATGGCCAAGTCGGATTACTTGTTTAATCGTCACACTGTTTTCGCCCACAACTAAGAGTCTATCGATGAGCTCCTGGAGGAACTGAACGTCGTGATCATAACGTATCTGAGGGTTTTCATCTTTTGACTCTGGTATGTGGAAGACCATGAGATTATGGCGCCTCAGCGAAATCAGTGATGAATCTGTGGGAGCAGAACTAAAGGCGTTTATCTGATTGGGTTGTTGTTTATCAGCAGGGGACGCCTGAACTCGATTACGTGGCCCAAGGATCCTCGGTGCTCAGAAGTCCACAGACAGGTTCTGAGAAATTCACGGACGGATCAATAAAGCGGCAGCTCGTAGGTTCCGAGTCTGAGTCTTCTATCGGTGGGGAACATTGAAGATGAGGCATGGCCGGGGGCGAAAACACTGGTGGTGGTGCAGATCACGGAGTGAAAAGAGAAGACGAGGTGACAGAGGTACTTTCACGAGGGCGTTTGACCCCACGTGGTGAACCGTTTGTTTCTGTAATTAAGAGAGATTTTCCAGTAGTTGTTGGCGGTCCCAGTGTATTCTGATGTCATGCGCCGCGAGATTTATCATATATAACTTGAAAAAACCGATGTCGGAGGTCGAGCGATTTTCGAGACACGTAAACAGATAAGCCAACGCACGAAATATGGAACAAAAACATTGCAGTTGAAGCACCGAAGTGCATGAGCCTTATTTCCCACAACTTTTGTACACAGACCACAAGTAGCTTGAGACGAGCATCACAAGGTAGAGCAAATCCAAGGTGGCGGACAGAGATGGCAGTAAGGCAAATCCCGGAGACCTCCGGAATTAGAAAAAGAATAGCCATCAAGTTTGCACGGAATGGAAAATACGCCAAATGAAGAAGATTGGTGCACAATTCACACGGAAAAAACACTGATAATACAGTAATCCGAAGCAAAAGTAGTATCTAGCACACGGTGATCCAAAAAACTGCGACGTCCGTGGGTACAGCTGAACAACCACAACGTTTAGTTCATTGTTAGGTTTTTGAATACTCGTCCCATGTTAAAATAGGACGTGTGGTCGCAAGCCAGGGTGTATAGTCCCAGCCTCTCGCATCTGGCCTCATAAGGTAAGCCCAGCAAAATGGGGATGAGCTTGGTAGCCCCGTGTTGGATATGTCCTATTCAGACGAATCAAATGGCCGCTTTGTTCACTTTCTATGCCAAAAAAGCTGAACAGAATCCGGATCAATTACATCCCACGAGTTCTTAGCCCCGAGTGCGTGCTGGAAAAGATATTAGTCAACCAGGGTGACCCTACTGGTGAGATGAAACGCAAACACGACGATTGCAGCGCAGACTGAGAAAAAGCAAAGTAAACACTGACCTTCAGGGAGAGCGCATTCGCTGGTTTAGCTAAAAGCCTGTGTGTCAGTTTGGTGATTCGGATAGCCCTCCATGTAATCCACTGTCATGGAGACGGTTACTTGACAACCGTGACATCTGTGAACAATCATCAGAGACAGGCTCGTTGTCAGCCGTAGACATTGAAAGTTAGGCCTCAATGTTTATGGGGACAAACTATATCTGCTAATATGCTGTTGTCTTCGGGTCGCATATGAATCAGGGACGCTTCGATTAGATTGGAGTGGAGGCTCGGTAACTATGAGCACCAAGGTAACTGACAATCTATTGTGCATGATTCGGTTGACTAGACACATCGGCCTGTAGCCTAGAGGGAATGAGCTTGCCTGGTAATCTTGCGGTGCGGGTTCGAATCCGAGTAGGGGTGGGCGTGCTCACGTTATAATCAGCCCGCGCGCGACTGGTGGTGGTCGAACGGCAGCGAAGCGCCGTCACGGCATACAGCTGACATTATTCTTATTATTATTAGACACGTAGTATACTAAAGACCACACTCACACGACTAGGGAACCATGTTCCGAGGTGGTTTGCCCGATAATCATCATACCTGCGACGAGTCGCTGGATCATTCAGGAGCGCGTACGCGGCGGACAGCCGTTGGAATGCCTGCACACCAGCCCCCGAGGTAGCAGGACAATTTGTATGTAAACGATCCGGGTGAAACAGTTTGCATTGGGCATAGTAAGCGGAGCGAATTTCAGCCTGGGATGCTGTTGGTTTCACCTGCAGCACCTCGTATGGGTCTGGTACATCGCGAAAGTCATCGTATCGGTGCTGAGTGTGGATCAAACAACAAGGAGCCATGAGGGGAGGCGGCCATTGTGAAGCGTGGAAGGCTGAAATATAATCACAAAAAGAAATGGACCACAGTTAGAGACAAGTGCTTGTTCAGCCAACACTAATAGTGTAAACTAAGGAGTGCGCTGAATTCACGGTACGTTCGAGTAACGATGAAGCAGGCGAAGAATGTAACGAGCAACTGCTTTGTGAAAGTTAGAGTAATCGGTCGACCAAGTGTTAACAAATCCTTTGATGTTCCGTGAAAATAACAACAAAATGGTAATAACCAGGTGTTTGGAAATAAGCATATGAAATAGGGAACGACGAACAATTCCCGACCGCTAACTATACTAGAAATCTAACCATCGGTAAATAAGTCTAAACTGTATACCCGGAAAAGAGAAACTGCGGGGAGTTCGGGGGAAGAGAGGACCAAATCGTTTGTTAGCAAAACGGAAATAATCACTAACTACATGGTCGAAGATGAATCATCAGCCTTTGCGGTTTTCTTCCCATTGGTTGGCGAGGTCCGTTCCCAAAACGTTGACGTGTAATCGCCGCAACTCGTTCCTACAACGGGAGTGCCGCCAGCGCTTATACTCTAATTGCTATAAACCAAACTGTTCGAGAGAAAATAAGAATGTCCAGGAAAAGCCATTATTTCAGTGGTTCATCAATAGCAATCGACTATCGCATCGATTTGGAACTTACTGTGATGTGTCAACACTTGTAGATGACTGACACTCTCCTGAAACTTGGCTGGATCAGCGTGACACTGCTATCTTTGGTAGTTGACCTTCTAAATCTAGTAGTCGAAGGTAATGAGGCGACCTATAAATATGACCATGGTCTGCCGCATTGGTACCATTCCAGTTTGACTGCGAGTAGCACGTTGTTTTTGGACAAGGTTGTGTTGAGTTTTTTCTTTCGTTTGTGTTTGAGGTCGCGTGGAATTTCAGCAAGTGAGAGGGTTTAACCCGAATAAAATGCACTTAGTTGTCGAAATGGACGCCTAAAATCGCCCGATGCGATGAACCATGGAGTTACCGCCACAGGATTAAGCAATATTTAAAAGACGGATGGTATAGTTGAAGGCGAGATTCCATCAATGTTGTCTAACAACAACGATAGTTCAACACCGTAATCGCTCTGACGTGTGCGGTTCAAGGATATGTCCAAAGCCTTGTTTTCACGGACTGACTTGCAATCCCACATGAGCAAAAGAATGACGGGAGCTGTGGTGTAGCTTACGCTGGCAGTGACATAAGCTAATCTCCACCTCCTGCATGTCACTTAGACAAAGTTCAGCGAATTCACATAAGATGTGGCGTAAGTGGGGATAAGCCCAAATGTCCATTGACTACAGTAGTCGTGAAATGGAAAGTCAGAAACAAATGACACTAATTGACGAAGGTCCTTTCCGTCAGTGTGGATAATTCGGAAGCTAAAAGAGGCAACATTCGGAATGGGGCCAATGAAACGTTAGAGAGTATCCTCATCATCAACAGCAGTACATCAGCCATTTGAACTGATGCTACATTGACATACAACCATGAGGACCTTCGCAATAGAGAATAAGAAAGGGAGAGAAAGGGAAACTTATCTGAAAACCTTAATGCCCTAAGCAAACATTCCGGGTCAAGGCGCCTACACCTTGTGTAGACAACATACCGTCACAAACAGCCGGCTATCGTGCAAAGATAAGGCGGCATCAGCGAGGCAGCTTCCTTGCAGCTTTCACTGCCACGCGACATAATCAGCCATTACCCCGCAGATAACTCAGCACCAAACACACTTTAAACAGGCAATCCGATTAGGAGACGGCAGCAGACGCGCCACTGGTGTCGGTTGCGAGCCATGTCCTGCAAAGTTTCGAGCCAAGCACAAGGTGAGTCACGTGGACTCCAACCCGAAAGGCGAGACGGACCCACGGCACTCAGTTTGGTCCTCAGTAACTTCATTTCCCGCTGCCAAATCAACTCCTGTCCACCTCGAGTCTTGCGCCATCCTACACCTGGTAGACTGAACAAGGCCCTCTTAGGTAAGCGGTCACCAGGCATGCGTAGCACGTGTCCGAGCCAACGCAACTTATTCAGTGCTATCTGTTGTTCCAGGGTGCTAGCATGATTATCACTACCTAGTACTCGCCTACGCACATCATCAATGCGGACACGCTGGTGCCACCCGACACCAGCAATGCTTCGAAAACAACGATGATCAAAGATTTGAAGGCGCCTCAGATCTTCAAAACGAAGGGGCCAAGTCTCACTACCATAGAGCAGAACGGCCCTCACTGTGGCCTTGTATACACGACCTTTCAGACGGCGTGGAAATCCCTTCTGTCGCCAAAGATGACGCAGGTTCAAGAAGGCAGCTCTGGCTTTTGCAATGCGTGAGCTCACGTCAGTTTCTATGCGCCCATCATTGCTGATGCAGCTGCCAAGATAAGTGAATTGATCAACCACCTCGAGTTCCTCGTTAGCAAGCGTCAAGGGGTCATCAAGTGGCTGGTGGTCCTGCAGCAACACTTTGCACTTTGAAGGTGCGAAGTGCATATCCAATAATGGGACCACTCTGGATAGGCTATTCAAGGTTGATTGTGCCGCCGCAAAATCGTCGAAAAGCAAGAGGATATCGTCCGCATAATCTAGGTCAACTAACCGTTCACCAAGCGGCACTTCAACGCCTACATCGTGAGATTCCGCAAGGAAACACTCCATGATAGAATCCACGACGAAATTGAACAAAAACAGGGAAATCAGACAACCCTGACGAACGCCACTTGTAGTCGAAAAGCCATCCGACAGTACACCATAGACCCTGAAGCGATCTGTAGTGTTCAAGTACAGAGCACGAAGGATGTTCACATATTTCGTGGGAACACCTTTCCGCGCAAGTAATTCGAACAGAATCGATCGATCGACTGAATCGAACGTACTCTTGAAATCGAGGAACACAGCTATTGTCGGTCTGCGGTATGCGTGGCGCTGCTCTAGCACCTGCCGCAAAGTAAATATATGGTCTATACAGCCGCGTCCTGGGCGGAAAGCGGCCTGCTCTTCCCTAATCCGAGATTCCCGTTCTGCAGTGACGCGACGAACGAGAATCGAGGCCAGTAATTTTGTCACAACTGGCGTTAGGCTAATACCCCTGTGGTTCGCACAGTCTGTGCGACTGCCCTTTTTGTATATTGCCACTATAATCGATTCGCTCCAACTAGCCTGCACACTCACTTCTTTCCAGATTTGTTCGAATAGGTAGGTCAGTGACCTGCAGAGGATCTCACTTCCATCCTTAAATAATGCAGGTGGGAGGGAATACGGGCCAGCGACAAGAAAACGATTGAGGGCTGTGATCGCGTTTCGGACCTCGGCCTCCGACGGAGGCTCTAAACTAACCGTCCATGGCTCGTCCTGCATCACCTGAGTAGGAAGAGGTCCGAGAGCAGGGGGCCAGCTGAACTGATCTTCAAAGTGTTCAGCCCAACGAGCCATACGGCGCTCCTTATTGTGTATCAGCGCACCCGCTCTGTCTCTGATTGTCTCACTGACGCCTGGTTTTCTGGGACCAGTGGTCGGATTAGCTGGAAGAGCTTGCGGAAATTGCCTACTACTCCTGCATCCTCCATTTCTTGAGCCCAACTGGTCCACCAGGCTGCCTTGTCAGCAAGTAGGCTCTGCTTTAGTTCACGCCTAATGGCCCGTCTGGTTACAATGTGTTCAGAGCTAGCCGGGAGGTGTCTTCTAGATTCCAACAGGTTTACCGATCTCTCGGATATCCAGTGACTGGTGCGATGACGACTGATGGTGCCACAAGCAGATTCTCCTGCGTTGTGCATGGCGGCCGAGATCCTATTCTACTGAAGTTCAATGTCAATAGGACAAGACAGTGGGAGTTCGTTATGCAGTGCTTCTTGATAGGCTTGCCTGACCGAGGACTGAGACAATTTCTCCGTTGCTAATCGGAGGGAACGCTTTGTGCGCCTTCCGGTAAAGTTCATGGAGAAACGACAGCGCACCAATGCATGGTCAGAGTCGACACAGGTACTCCAATACGAGCGGCAATCCAGAATGGAACCGCTCCACCTATAACTTACGGCTATTTGGTCAATTTGGGTCCATCGCTGGCCAGCTACAGGTGGACGCCAAGTAGCACTTCGGAGCCCATTGTGTCTAAAAGCAGTGCTACTAAGAAACAACTGGTGCTCCGCACACAGTTGCAGCAGACGGTCGTCGTTGTCAGTCCGTTCGGCATTAAACCCATAATTACCACCTAGCTGAGCTTCTGAAGAGCTCAGACGCCCTACTTGTGCGTTCATATCCCCTGCAAGTACTATAATATCTGAACTAGTAGCACTGCGTAGTAGGAAAGTGTCTTTGACTGCATTAAAACTGCAGTCGGTGGGAGCATAAACGGAAATCACAAGCAAACAGCGATTTGTTTTACTTCGCGAATTCACCCTAGCTGATATCGTCAAACGGGCTGCACATAAACGGCTGTCCACCGGAATCCAATCAATCAACGATGACTCAGCCTTGGAGCTGAGAATGATACCTATACCAACTTGACCCGTGAGTGCTACATCGACGTCTCAGGATGCGCGCAACCAATAACGAGAGGTTAAGCCGGGTGCAGTCAATTCAATAACCCCGTTAGGGTCATTAATCCTAGTTTCGGACACACAACACACATCAACACCCAGTGTGTCCAAGGTGCGTGAGAGTGCAGCCTGCTGACCTGTTTGTCTTAGAGTGCGGACGTTGAATGTCGCCACGGAAACGGGACAGCGTGGCCTTATAAGGGACTTTGCCGATAAGCGTCCGATAGGTGCTTTGGGATGGTGGCTGCAGATGGTTCTACTCCAGTAGCACTTCGGTTGTTGTCAATTAAGCTGGGAATTATAGAAGTAAGGTTAGTAATTGGGGCCGGGATGGGAGTAAGAAAAACAGGTGGAAAATAAAGAAGAGAGGCGCCAGCCCTAGTTGCCAAGGATGGACTTTACGGTGGCATGCGTACTCTGATGAGGTAGTGGTTACGATGGAGAAGCAAGCGCTCC